GGGTAATGCGGTGTGACACCGCGCAAACAAAGGCGGATTGAGCGGCCCAGCGGGCCCCGCCGGACGGGGACCGGCACAGCAGGGCTGTCAGCGCCGCTCCCAGGCTAATCCCCGCCCCGCCCCCTAGCTCCCGGGGCTGGGAACCGAGCGCGGCCCGGGCCGGGCGCCGCCGCCGCCGCGAGAGGCCGCGGGTCGGCCGGAAGCGAGGGGCACCCGGCCCTGCGAACTCGCCCTCGGTGCCCCCCACCCCGGCGCCGAAGAGTGGTAGGGGGCTGGAATTGGGCGAGGAGGGCGGTGGGAAGCCGGGGCACAGGAGCCAGGGCCATGGCGGGTCCAGCTTGGCACGCTCCTCTAGCGTTGTTGGTGCATTTGGAAGGAACCCCTCCAGTGCAAGTGACCCACGAAAGCATCAGGGTTCCCAAACGGGCAGCATCGATTCCGTGGGGTTACCAGGCTCTCTGCCTGTGTGAGGAACTTCCACTTTCTTTGGCATACAGGCCTGGAAAGGCGGCTGGGACCCTACTGTCTGCGTGGCCTTAGGCAGGTCACCTCTCCGTGGGCTCCTCGCCTGTAAAGGAAGATGGTGGACTGCAAATCTCTCAGACCTTTGCCTATGTAATCCTCAATGACTGTATCTGCAAAATGGGCATACAAAATAAATATATGCCTCACAGGGTTAAGAAGATTAAGTGGGATTAAGCCCAAGTAGGGAACACTCACAGTTGGCTATTATATAATGAGGCTGGGGGCACCCCTGAGGCTGTCTGTGTCACTATGGTCCATATGACACTGTTAGAGGGGGAGACACCACAGTGACGGTCAACAACATTTTTGTGCAATGTTTCCACAGACATTTATTATTTTAAAATAAATATATCCCTGTAGTTAGCCATCCAGAAGCAAAGTGGCTCTGTAGGATAAGCACTGTTGGAGACCTACAGCTGCTGTTTGAGAGAAAGATGAAGGTTTTTGCTCCCACAAAGATTTACAGCCTCGGAAATCTGTAAAGGGTACTTAACAAGAAGTTAGTTATAACAACAAAAACAGTTTTCTGAAGTCCAGCTTACTTGTATCAATATACCTAGCAGGCTAAAGCTCTATGGTAATTTACCTTTTGAACCTTCTAAGAAGGGAGTCCTGGGGAGATGCTGTGGGATAATGCACTGGACCCAAAGGTCGGTTTGAACCCCAAGGTCGGCAGTTCAAACTCAACAGCCGCTCCTCAGACACCCTATACAGGGTCACTATGAGTCGGAACCCAATCAACAGCACTTTAACAACAAGAAGAGGGGTTGTGACGACTGTATTTAACAACACAAACAGCAACAAAGGAGCCCCTAGAGCCCCGCTGTAGCACTGCAGGATAATGCGCTGGACCTCAAGGTCAGTTTGAGCCTCAAGGTCGGCGTTTCAAGCCCAGCAGCTGCTCCTCAGAAACCCTATACAGGGTTGCTTTGAGTCAGAACCGACTCGTTGGCACTTTAACAACAACAAGGGGCTCCCAGTTCTGGTGAGACACTGTGGGTTAATGCGCTGGACTGCAAGGTCAGTTTGAACTGCAAAGTCAGCAGTTCAAGCTCACCAGCAGCTGCTATACAGGGTCACTATGAGGTGGAACCGACTCAACGGAACTTTAACAAGGGGCTCCAGTGGGAGCGCTGTGGTTTTGTGGAATAAGCACTGGACTGCTAACCATAAGGTCATTGGGTAGAGCCCACCAGCTGCTTTTTGTTCCTACAAAGATTTACAAGCGTCAGAAACCCTGTACAGGCAGTTAACAACAACAAAACAGCGGCTCGGGTCAGAGCTGTCTTTATTATCCAGTGCCTGAGGCTTGGAATCACTCGTTCATGAAAGATTTGGTGTTTTTGCAGTTGCTGATTTTTTCAAAATTTCTAGTGTTTTAGCTACATTATTATATATTTGTGAACCTATTTTAATAACTTTTTTGAGCACGAAGTAGTAATTAAAGGAAAAGGAGGGAAAAAATTTAAAAAGGTTTCACTCATACTAAGAATATAATGCAATATAGAAAGCTTTACAAAATTATGTTATGGCTAGTATTCATATAACCTATGAAATGTTACATTTAAATGATTTATAATTATATTTACCACAATTATTTATTATATGATTAAAATGGATAATCAACATTTCTAAGGATTCTGCATAGTCTGGTACAGGTGGTGGTCCACGGGAGGGTGTGTGTGTGTGTAATTAACTCCAGTGATACCACTGCTCCTATTTGAATCTTGAGTTAGACCTGAGGGAACTGCATTAGGGTCCTCCTGGGAGGGGCTTGTCCTAGGGTTTGGGATGGGGTAGCTGATGATTGGCTGGCTGCCTGACTGATGAGAAACTCTGACTTAGAGAGGTTTAGGCCTCCTTCCTTCAGATCTCAGGGTCTCTCAGGCGTGGGAGGGCTCAGTTGGACCTGGGCTCTCTCTGGAGTAGTTTGAGAAGGGGTGGGGGGCTGGAACCAGGACAGAGCGTGACTGCCTTTTCTCTTCCAGAATCTGCAGGGTGAATATTTTCAATACTCTGTAGCTGGACCTCAGTTTTCTCATCCGTAAAGTGGGAATACCCAGCAAGGCTGTTTCAGTCAATGAGGGTGGGGAGGGCACGTGGGTTCCTCCTCTCCCCAGGGGCAGCCGAACCCTCCAGATCTTCCTTGCCTCCTCCTCCCTGCAGCCACCCGCGAGTCGGCCTTCGTGCACGCCATCGCCTCAGCCGGCGTGGCCTTCGCCGTCACGCGCTCCTGCGCCGAGGGCACCTCCACCATCTGCGGCTGCGACTCGCACCACAAGGGGCCGCCCGGCGAGGGATGGAAGTGGGGCGGCTGCAGCGAGGACGCCGACTTCGGGGTGCTGGTGTCTCGGGAGTTTGCGGATGCGCGTGAGAACAGGCCAGACGCACGCTCGGCCATGAACAAGCACAACAACGAGGCTGGCCGCACGGTGAGCGGGGGCCACCCCAGTCCACCCTGCCCGTGCCCCTGCCCCTTGCCCCTCCGGAGTTGGCCCCGCCCCCACAGCCCCGCCCCTTCCGGTGGCCCCAAACGCCTGGGGCTCTCTGCTCCATTTCCAGGCCACCAGGCTTGACCCCACTCAGCCCTTCTGCCCTTCGCCTGGGCTGTACCTGGTCTCTTCCGGGCACGGGTCAGCCTGGGAATGCTGCCACCCGAGAGGGCAGGTGTCTGACCATGACCCGGCTTTGCTTGTGCACGAGTCGCTAAAGTTCCCTCCTCAGTTTCCCCAATCTTTATTTCCTATGAGAATACGGACATGGTGATGCCTGCCTGTCAGTGCTGGCTGTGTGGAGGGACGGGAAATAGTCACCATCCTGCAAGCCTGTGCCTCAGTCAGGCCCATCCGTTCTTTTTTGGTTAGAGTCGGAAGGCTTGAGGGATGGGGGAGGGGGGCGAGCGGGAGGGTCGTAGATGTGCTCCGAGGTGGGGATCAGCGGCTACTCCTCTTCCTCAGACCATCCTCGACCACATGCACTTGAAGTGCAAGTGTCATGGGCTGTCGGGCAGCTGCGAGGTGAAGACCTGCTGGTGGGCCCAGCCTGACTTCAGGGCCATCGGCGACTTCCTCAAGGACAAATATGACAGCGCCTCGGAGATGGTAGTGGAGAAGCACCGAGAGTCCCGAGGCTGGGTGGAGACCCTCCGGGCCAAATACGCACTCTTCAAGCCACCCACCGAGAGGGACCTGGTCTACTACGAGAACTCTCCCAACTTTTGCGAGCCCAACCCTGAGACGGGCTCCTTTGGCACCAGGGACCGGACTTGCAATGTCACTTCCCACGGTATTGATGGCTGCGACCTGCTCTGTTGTGGCCGTGGCCACAACACGAGGACGGAGAAGCGGAAGGAGAAATGCCACTGCATTTTCCACTGGTGTTGCTATGTTAGCTGCCAGGAGTGCATTCGCATCTACGACGTGCACACCTGCAAGTAGCGGCCAGGTAGGACCTGCGTGTCGGGCCACTTCCTTCTCATTGTAAGCTCTGGGGGACACACACATTCCGTAGCCCAATTCTGGAAGCTAGGCTTTCCCAGTTTCAATGGGACGCCTTTGGGCAGTGCCTTGGATTATACATAGCACAGATAATAACCCCAAGTGTGTTCACCTGAGGCAGCAAAACAATTGGTTGAAGTTCTTACACAAATTAGCACATTATGAGCCAGGTCAAGTTTTTGCATGGCCACTGGCTAGCATTATTGAGCATTTGTGGCAGGAGAAAATAGACAAGGTAGGGTTGGAAGCTGAGAGACCTGATTTCCAGTTACAACTTTGTCTGCATCTTCCTGTTCCCTTCACTCCTCTGGGGCCTCAGTTTTCTTACTGTAAAATGAGGGGATTAACATACTTGAAATAGTAGGCTGAAAGGTCATGTCTTCTACCCCCGGACAGAGTCATTGTGCATCCACCTTGAACACAGAGGGCAAGTTTTTGCACAAGCATAAATCCTACCAACCTCAAGGAAGTGGGTGGGGGGAAGCGGCATGTAAGCCCACATCCTGACAGATCTGAAGCTTGGGTGGAGCAGGGACACTCTCACTGAGTTTATGGGGTGATGATGGGGAGCAGGAGGGAGTCAAGTTCAGAGTGAAGGTGGTGAGTAATTCAGGGATCAAAGGCTCTGGGTTGTGTTCCCAAGCTTCCCAGAGGTGGCCTGTGTGGGAGGCTCTTTGCACTCGCCCTTGGATCTGTGGGACCCCAGGGTAAGTCAAGTGATGGAGGGGTGGTCCTTCAGCCTCAAGGGTGAAAGGTTTCGAAGGCCAGGGTACTCTACCTCCCTTCCCTTTTACTTGAGAAGGAGCCTAGTATATAGAGCCATGGGCACAGATTGGAATTAGTTGGCCTAGCTTTGGCCCAAGGAGCTCTGGTGGTGTAGTGGTTAAGTGCTTGACTGCTAACCAAAAGGTTGGTAGTTCAAACCCACCAGTAGCTCCACTGGAGAAAAAGCTTGGTAATTCGCTCCTGTAATGATTAGAACCCAGAAGACACCTTGGGGCAGTTCTACTCTCTCATATAGAGTTGCTATGAGTTGAAATTGGCTGGGGGGCCCCTAACGACAAGAGCAACCCTGGCCCTGCTTCCACCACTTGTAAACTGTGTAAGCCAGACACCCTGCATCGATGGCATCTATTGTCTGCCGCAGAGGTCCTGTGAGGAACAGAGAAAGGAACATGGGGACAGTGGTGGGTCAGGTGCTAAGGACTGGCCTGCCTGGGGTTAGCCCTGGCTAGGGCAGTGTTAGGGTAGTGCTGCCTACAGAATGGAAAGGGGCCAAAGATGGGTCCCAGCTCTTCCATTTACAACTATCTGGCCTTGAGAAACTCAACCTCCTGAACCCCCATTTGATCTTCTGCACCCAGGTGGTGATAATGGGGGCTTCCTGAGTATTGGTGAGTTTTGAGTTTGCCAGTGCATGTGAATGCCCATCTGAACACAGTACTAATGTGAAGTGGGATAAACCCATCAGAGAATTGGTGACATGTATGGTGGCATGGTCAGTGTGTCCAGAGATACTGTTACTGCTTGGGTAGTCTTTGCTTTTCAAAATAATGGATGAAAGGCCAGGGAATACGAGTCAACTCATGGGCTAATTGTGGCTTGTCAAGGTGGAAGGAATGTTTGAAAACCACAGTGGGTACCTTCTTCTGATGTCTACTATGAGCAGAGGAAACCCAGGTCCTAGCAGTTATGAGAGGAGGCTGAAGGAAAGTCACCTTTAGAAAGCTAACCTTTGATTGTGCCTAGGGGACCATTGCACAGATGAGGGACACTGAGTTAGTGACCAGAAAGCCCCTTTGGGTTGAAGTCCAGCAGCTCAGGCCTCATCAGTGGCTCTAGGGGGGAGGTATGCCTCAGATGGGGACCCCTGCAACTCTGTTCCAAGTCCAGCCCCCTAGGGCTTTTCTCCCCCTGTTCCCCCCCCCCCCCCACTAATACTGATTCTATAAAGAGATGTGCTCTTCATCAGCCTTCTTGTCTTCCCCATTTCTCAAATAGACAAGTAGTGTTCTTTCAAATTGTATATAAATTGCTTATAGATCCTGGCCCCTACACCCCTCATATATAGACATTTTGGAACCCTCACTCTCTGAAAAGTGGGAGATACTATCCCAGCATGGTGCCCTTTTGATAAAACAGTCAACTTTTGTCTGATTTCAGGCAAGCTATTTTGCCTCCCTGAGCTGTTTCCTCATTGTAAACTGGGGATACGGGTTGTCCTGGTACGCCAGTAGAGTGGTCAGAGCGCTGAAGGAGAGGTGGCCAAGGTGGCCTGTCAGGTTTACCTCCAAGGGCAACTCTTCCTATACTTCTGTTGTTGAGACAGAGGCCAAAGACTGGCTGAGAGCCTGTTACATTTTCCCAACTTTTCCTCCATGCTGACACACTGTGCTTCAGATGGGACATTGAGACACAAGCTGGTAGGGACAGCTGGTCAGGGCCTTTGGCTTTCCTCTGGGTGACCTTATTTGTCTTGACAGAGTAGGTAGGAGAGAGAAGGGAGCCACAGAGCAGGAAGTACCAGCCTCTGTTCCCCCAATCCAGGAGAGCGGAAGGGGTCTGGAGCCTTAGCAACATTGGCTTCTTGCCACATGAAGTAGAGAGTCCTGCCTTGGGCCCTTTCTGTATGAGGAAAACAGCGTTTCCACTCACTTGTAGCTTTTGCCCAGTGTCTCTGGCTAATCACTGAATTCCTATCTTACGGGTACCTAATGAGCCCAATGAGCTGGGAAGACACCCGGACAAGAATCCAGTGGCCTGGCTCTTCCACTACTAGCTGTAGGGCCTTTGTCCCCGCTGAGCCTCATTCGCTGCTTCTGTACAATAGGCTTCTACTGGCATTGTCTGCCCTGAGAGGAGCTGAGGGTTGATTGGGAAAGTCCATGAAAAGGCTTTCACTTCTAATCATTTGTGAGGTATACATACGCACACTAATAACACATACACACTGGAGTGCTCCCAAGAAGGCTGTACCCATACTGACGGAAACAGATGCTCTCCTGCGTAGACAGCTCAGTATCAGACCATCTAGTGCACACTGCGAACTAGACCTTCACACTGGTAAGGTGCCTCCCAGTCTTCACAAAGAATTACTACATTTGGATTGCCCAAGACCCCAAGCTAGAAAGTGGGGGAGGTAGGAGACAGATCACAGCCTGCGGACTTACATCCCTACTGCTATTCCCATAAACCACCTACCCTCTCTCAGTGACAGACCCCAGGTTAGGTTGGAGGTGAGGGATCATGACAAAGCTCCTCGAATCCCTGTCACTTTTACAAACACGGTGTACACAGAGAGTGCCTTCTGGCAGCCTCTGATATCTTTGCATTCTAATGGGTGGTGTTTTGTTTTGGGAAAAGGAATTATGTTTCTAACTCTTCCTGTTTATTTTCCCAAAGGGTGCTGGGAATGGGTGAAGTGTGTGACTGGGAGGATTCACCAAAGTCCCATGGGAAGCAGGAGCTAGAGGCGGGGCTCGGCCCTCAGCATCGGACAGCAAGGAAATGGACTGTTGCCAGATGCACGTGTGGTAAATGACCTGGATCCAACCTGCCCATTGGCTGGGAGCCTTCTCTCTCTTTCTCATCTTCAGTTTCTCACCCTACTCTGGATGGTGTGTGGTTTTTTTTTTTTTTTGGTTTTTGTTTTTGTTTTTTAAAGAAGGGGCTTTCTTTTTTGTTCTCTAGGGTCTGGTAGGAACAGACCCAAGGCTTATCTTTGCACATGTTAAAGAAAATAAAAATGGAAAAACCAACAACAACAACAACAACAACAAAACTACTCCAACAGAACAGGCTGGGTCAATGTGAGCTCTCTGCCTGATGGTAAAAACATCAGTATGGGCAAGGCTGTTTCCTAACTGCTGCTTCTGGTGACAGTCCAAGATGTCTTTGAGGTGGGAGCTATGAAGTTCGTCAAACTGTGCATGCTCCCTCTCCTCTCTCTACCACTTTCATTCAAATCTGATCTATTGTTACATTCTCATAAAAGCCATAGGGTTAGCTAGGAGACCACAGTAGGAGGCCCAAGGCAATTGTTAACGTAGGAGTCTGAATTTTGAAGAACCCGGAGTTCTAGGTGACCTGGGAAGCTTATTTGACGAACAGCTGTGTCCTTCTCAGTCTCCTTTTCTCTATAACCAGTTCTGCCCAAGGCTCCTGGGACCTGCAGCCAGGTAACTGAGTCCTTTTCTACCATTCTTTCCTCAGTTTCCACCAATAATGCTACGGTTTTGTTTTTTTTAACTTCTCATTATGAATTGATTGAAGGTTTACAGAACAGATCATCAGTCCCACATTCAATAAATCATACACTTTGTGTCATTACAATGGTTACAATCCTTTCCATATAAAATGACCTCTAGTCATTTTAACCCCTAACCTCCCTGTGTCTCCTGCTACCTTCATCTTTCTAACTCATTGTTGTTTTCTGCAGTGTGTGGATTTTTTTTGTAGTGGACTTTGTGGCTAGGTTCTGTATGGAGCAAGCTTCCTTCAGCTTTAGTGGCCTCTGAAAGCCAGTCTCTGTGGAAGGGACCCTGAGTCCATCTGGCACTGTTCACCTGCAAATTCTTCATCAGCATAGCTCCAGGTGGGGCACTTGGACTCTAGGTCACGTTAGTAGCATTGCTATAAAATTAGACAGTGCAGGGGTCTGTGAGAATAGTGATTTCTTCCTGAACTTCCATCTCTGTGACTAGTGGATGGGGAGGATAAAAACAATTCCTTCCTTCCCAGTAAGGACACATTTTCTTCCAGTGTCCTTTTCATTCTGCTGCCTGGGAGAATATACTGAAGCACAGGGTTCTTAATCAGTCTTCTGCCCTTCCCTGTATTCTGAGATAGCCACAGTCCATGCAGCTACCAAAGCTCAGGATTGGACATTCAAAGGAGGGCAAGCAGTCACCTCCTCCCTTAGGTGAAGCATCTCACAGCTGAGCTCTCCTTGACCAACCCAGTCTATGAACCTGTTTGTTAGGTGCCACTGAGTAGGTTCTGACTCACAGCAACGACAATTATGCAGAACAGAACGAAACACGGCCCAGTCCTGGGCCATCCTCACAGTTGTTGTTCCGCTTGAGCCCATTTCTGTTGCCACTGTGCCAATCCAGCTCCTCTTTGTCACAGACCCTCCACTTTACCAAGCATGCTATCCTTTCCCAGGGACTGGTCCTTTCTGGTAACATGTCCAAAGTATAAGAGACCAAGTCTGGACATCCTGGCTTCTTCTAAGGAGCATCCTGGCTGTCCTTCTCCCAACACAGATCTGTTTGTTCTCCTGGTGGTCCATGGTTGCAGTGATTGAAACCCCCTCCATGGACCAATCAGTTCAGTGTTTACCTCTATTCACTTTGACTCTTTCACTCCTCCCAGTGTCTCCCGCTACCTTCATTTTTCCAACAGAATGTATTTTTTTTTTTTTTTTTGTAGTGGACTTTGTGACTATGTTCTGTATGGGCAAACCTCCTTCAGCTTCAGTGGCCTCCGAAAGAAGGCAGTTTCTTTGAATGGGACCATGAGCTTAGAGTGTCCTAAAGGGAGCTAGCGAAATGGAGTCCAATGGATTTGATGAGATGAATAAATGTGTCTTCAGGAGAGTCAGAAAGAAGAGATGTAGCGGAGTAGACTTTTCTCTCTTTTCTCCTTCTCTCTCTCTCTCTAGTCTACCTAACACTGGCCTCAGATGCCACGTCAGCAGTCTTCTTGCTTGCTCATGCAGGCTTGCCAAGATTATCATCTCGTGAAGCCATGCCCGAACCCTTGAATCAGCTGGCAACAAGCCCTGCTAAAGATACATGTCCCCCACCCCAGTGTGCAGTCTGAAATGCCCCTCCCCATCTCACCTTAGACAACAAAGTTCTGAATCACATCAACCGGATAATGCTTGCTTTATGTGAGACTATTTCAGCAGAATGGGTACAAATTTTCAAAACAGTCTTTTTATATCTATGTATTCTCTATTAAAAGTGATAAAGTCATGTTTCTGGGGAGTATTCAAGTAGCTGACAAGTAATTATTTAATAACAGTGCGTTGAGTGCATTGTCAGTATTCGCGCCGTAGTCAGGTATTAGTAGCCAACAGAAATTTCCTACCAACCTGCTGTATCCAAAGTTTTGTAAAAAGTTGTAGAAGTTGTTGATCTTTTTGATTTTATATTCAAAAAGTCTCTTTTTATAAATATTATTTATTATACAATGTATATACCTTTGAGTTAACTAAGATTATATATTATATAAATATATATATATTTGGAGAAAATCTATTTCATCATGCAGTTTTTTTCTGTTAAGTCATTAAAGAGACGGTAAACAAACTTAAAATGGATACATTGTACAGTGTGTGGAGTCTCCAGATCAATGTCCAGGAGGTCAGCACTCTCTGATTCTGAATGTGGTGGCCTCAGCTTGGACTCTAACTGGTAGACCTGACTCAGGTCCCATCTCAGCTTTAAGCATCTGATCTACTATCTGATGTTCTCACAGGTTTGCTTTGTTCTAAGCCATCTTCTACTGAAGGCATTCTAGTTATAAAAAGAACCAATTTGGGCAGTAATTCCTCTCATCAACTCCAGTACTTCCAGCGTATAAAGCCATGTCAGACAGCCAGCAGACTCGGGTTGGCACTGGCTGGTTCCTACCTCACTGCAACGTTTTCAGCTCCGTTACCTAGGGAGTTGAAAGTACAACTTGACTGCTTGCTAGCTATGAGAGAGCTAAGCTGGGGAAGGGGTAGGTTGGCAGGGAAGAAACGGCATACCCTGAGCTCTGCTGCATCTTTTAGGAGGGATTGGTTTGGGCTCTGAGGGCAGTCTGTGGGGCATGTTCTAGGTGAAGGCATTCTCTCTGTGGACTGCAACTTCGAAAGGATTCATCTCAAGTTCACCAGTCAGACCTTCTCAACAATGAGATGCTATAATTCAGTTGTATGACACTAGACAAGCCTTTAGCCTTCAGACCTACCTATAAAATGGCACCTGCAGTTTGCGTGGCACACTGTCTAAGAGAAAGGCTAAAATGTTTTCCTTTTATTCCACTTTCTCCCAGTCTACCTCTATTAGGGACAAATCAAGAACAGAACAGAAAAGGCTGCTGTCTTGTGTTTCACGTGGCCCTCTCATCTTAGGTTAGGAACAGCCACTAGAAAGAAGAGCATGAACTACTGCATGATTCTCATGCTGGATCTCTGTCTAGTTCATGAAAAGCTTAAACCACAGAAACGATTACATCCAGTTGTGCAAAGAACTGGACACATAAAGTATACACACTCCTTCCACTTAACAAAGCTGGTCATTTGCTTTCCCTTTTATTTCCCTTTTACATGAAGCTAATACTCATCTATACCAGCATTCTGGTTCCTCGTTTTCTTTTTTAATCTATCAGATTGCTAAATATTTAAATGGTCCTTATTCATAGTTACTAAGGCCATTTAAAATCCCTTCTATGATTAATCATATTCTATGATTAAAGAGAATACAGTTTATAGAGTGCCTGAACATTTAGTTTCTTCATAAGCACAAATACTCGTAAACACCTGAAAACAAGAGGAAGTTAAAAAAAAAAAGATCCAAGAGAAAGAATAAATATAATGAGAAGATACATTTCAAAGCATTTCTACTTTATGGAGGAAGGAAGAAAGAGTGTGAGAGAAGTTTAAGGATTAGCTACAAAGAAAGGGAAACGGAGTCAACATAAAGCAGAGAGAACCACCAAGTGCAAAGATGGTGGTGTAGTCCTTCTAGGCCTGTCTGGGATAAAGACCCCAACGCCTGCCCTAGGTATAATCTACACAAATGAAATGAATTTGGAAAAACTATAGCTGCTACACTGTTTCCTTTCTCCCAGTTCAGCAGAGAACATTTTAGAAGGCAAGACCTAATCCTACCATTAATCAGACTCCCAGAGTTGTGAGACAAAGTCAGTGTGTGAAGGCTGTGTACTGGGAGAATCTCAAACATGAATCCTCCTTGCAGATTCTGTCTGCATCTCCTTGGGATTCTTGCTGATCACAGACCCTCCAGTCATCATGTCTGCATGGCACCTCCACAGGCTCATAGCCAGGATCCCAGCTCAGCACTGCTTGTCAGCTAATGAGAAACTTCAGATCATTTTGCAACGACTCCGGACATTTACATGCTTTTTTGAACTCTCTCACACACATTTTGTCATCTCCTCTTTGAAGATGCTAATGGAGCGAGCCACCGGGCAAGGGGAGTCCTGCTTTGCCCTTCTGTGTTTAGGCTGAGGTGCTTGTTTATAGCTGACTGGATGCTTCCACCATTCTGTTTACCATGAGCTGATGGTTATTATATGCACTTGAATCTATGCCATGATCCTGCGTCTTGCTGCTGAAGCTTAAAGGAGGGGCTGTTCACGGTAGTCTATAGACACCCTTACAGATCAGATTTTAGCCATAACTTTACAGTTTTTATGTATTACATTAAAAAAGAAACAGGGTCTCAGTGAAAATGTACATGTTTAGTAAAGATGAAATTACTTCCTCTTTTGAGGTTTTGGATACATCTTCTGAAAGAGGCTGGGGTAAGAGTTTCCTTTGCTTTAACCCATACTGTG